AAATTAAGTTATTTGACATAGTATAAATTAAGTTATAGAGATTTGAAGATGAACTTTATGTTTACTATGACCTTAAATTCTCATAACTTGATGAATATACATGATAAAATTATGAAATTTTGATGATATGTCTAACTATAAGTTGAGATTATGACTGTTAAGTTTCATAATTTAAAGATGAGAAATGAATAAGTTATGAATATAAGAAGGCCTATATGTAAAGATGAGTATATATATGCAAGAATATTCATGATATGTTCAAGTTGTTAAAATGAGATTTTTATGATCAATTCTCATATAAGTGATAAGAAAATTGACAAAGTTTTGGTTTAATATGTTGAGTATACAATTTTATAAAAATTGTATTAAGTATGACATATTAATATCATGATTAAATGTTATGATTAAAGATGAGTATGCTTGAGTAAAATTTTCACTTTCAAGTTATATAAGTGAAAAATGATTATAAGCAAATATGTAAGATTTGGGGAATATGCTATATGATGAGTTAAGTAATTGATTGAGTACAAGATCAAGAAAAGTTAATTTGAGAAAAGTATGATTATTAAAATTTCTATAAGATTTGGATGAGTATCCGAAAGAATTGAGAAAACGATTATCTTATTGAGTATACGAGCGTAGTACTTAGTATATTTGTTTATATATTTTTATGTAGCTTGAAGAGTTTGCTACTCGAGAACAACACTTACGATTTTTCAAAAGACGAAAGGTGGGGACCCAGACTGGGTATTACATTGAGTATAATATTGGTATCATGTCCGAGTTATGTAAAAGTTTATGTTTATACGCTTGGGATGAGGAGGCATTTAGTTGTCTCAGAGTATATCCTAAGTTCTAATGGAGGCCGTTTGAGTTGCCTTGAGAAATATCCATTAGATTGTGCACAAGTATCCGAGTCGGCCAGCTGAAGTTTAAGTTACTGGAACAATTTTAAGTCCAGTTATATACCGGAGATCATGATATTATATTATTATTGTTGTTTACTTTAGTATGGGTGTTTTCGGGGTACAAGAGGATCAGTACTCATCCCCATTATGTTTTTCAGGTAACAGGGTCGGGCCGGAGGTGTGAGCTCGAAAAGTGGTGGTGGTGGTCGTGCATTTCATTAAGTGGACTTTTATGAAGTATTTGATAAGTTTGTATAATAAATTACGCTTTCAGTTATTTCCGCTATGCACATTGATTATTGAACTTGCATTTTAAATAAATTGATGATTTCAAGTTTTTACTATTTCGAGAAGTATGAATATGGTATAATTAAATGCAAGTTTAAAGGAAATTTGTTTCTTTATGTCTAAAAGAAGTATTAGACAAAGTTTAAAGATAAATGGATTTTCAAGATGATAAGGTTGAGTAGCATCCCGAGTTATTCGCAAAAGATTTCGAAAGAGTTATAAGTATTTTCGAAGTAAAAGTTGCGAAAAAGTTACTCTGATAAGCGGGGTGTTACAAATGATGCCACGCCCACGGTCTTCTTTATATATTATGTTTTCAACTCTCTAATAAACTTGCTATAGCATAAAGTAGAGTAATATGACACGCACTTAGTCATCCTCGGGGACGATGAACTCAATTTAAAGTGATGTGAATGCAGAACAATATACCGGTAAGCTTACATTCGGTCAACAACACTTCACTTTAATCTGATACAATAATTCAATATTTTTAGTAGTGTGTGAAAAAGACTGCAGCTTCTTTGCAGTGTTGGTGGATTGTTAAACGTTAAGAACCCCGTAAACGATGCTAACTGCGATTGTATCCGTTATATAACATTCTTCTGGTGATGTAATTTAACTTATTTTAATTGATATTATTGGGGTTAATTGCAGGAAAAATCATAACTTTTTGGTTAATTGCAAATAAAACTCATCTTTTTTAATTTGGCAAGAAAATACCCAACTTTTAATAAGTATTGCAAATTTGTCTCGAAAACATATTTCGGCCAATTCTGCTGACATGGCTGATCGAAAAAATGACGTGGCATCTACGTCAGCGTACACATAGGATGCCATCTCACATAGACGCCACCACACATCATCATCAACCCTCACACACTCGAAATACACCCAAATAAAAGAAAGAAAGACCCAACACACACTCACACACACACACACACTCACACACACACACAAAATACATACAGGTCTCTCGCCGACTACCTGCTCCCTTGCTCGGCTGCTGCACATACTAGCTCAGGCGCCGCCGCACTTTAGCCCGATCGTCCGACCTCTCCGCCCTGTCCCACCTCCCTCAAAACCTCTCCGCCTTGTCCCGCCTCGTAACCCTCAATCTCCAAGACAACCAAATCACCGGCCAAATCCCCAAATCCCTAGACTCACTCCCAAATCTCCGCCATCTGAACCTCTCAAACAACGAATTAAACGGGTCAGTATCAAAATCCCTACTCACAAAATTCGGCATGACCAGCTTGTAACGCCCCAATCGATTTTTAAAGAAAATCCATGGTTTTTCCAAAAAATCAAGGTAAAAATTTTCGAAACTTATTTTTCGAATCATAAATTTTTGACGTTACTCGTTCCTTTCATAAATACAGTTCAAGTCATAACTGAACTACGGGGATTCATTACCCGATTTTTCAACGATTTTCATTAACCACATAAATCGATAAATTTAACATCAGATCATACTCAATCAGATATCAAGTAGGGTTTTTCATCGTAAACCAAATCTGAAAGTTTTCCAAAATGAACAAGTTCAAAATCCAATCCAAACAAGTTCAATACCAACATAGTTCATAAATAAGCGGAAGCAATTTAATAAGCATAATAAATAAGCATAATAAGCAATGACCACCGCCCGTCTTGTCTCGTCACGCGCCACTGCTTAACCTGCATCAGTTACGAGCAGGTGGGAGTGAGTACAGTTAAATATCGTACTCACACTATGCAATGCACATTTTATAATATGTCAAATTGGCATGGTCGCAGCATGAACACAAACAATACACATATGTCACATCTCCATCATAACATAAATACTCCTGTGCACATCTTTCATAATAGTCGCGGAAAGGGGATTCATTACCCTAACGGCGAGAGTACGTGCCACGCAAGGACACGGCCTTTCATAATAGGTCTTAAGGAGACTTGCCTCATAAGGCAACCGTATTACATCGACGGGGACAACCGTACCGATGGCCATCATAATAGCTCACATCGATAGGCTACATATTCACGTTCATACATAGATCACGCCAAAACGGAAACACATATTTAAACACACATTGCACAAATAATTTTAGAATAACAACCCACCTGGATTCCGGATTGATGATAACTCAAAGCAATGGAAGTAGGTCGAGGCTTGACTCCTCAAACACCTACATTATGTCAAGATCCTACAATCAATATCTTGACTTAATCGGAAAACACAAAACAAACCTAGTCGAACTTGTTTCGACTAGGTAGTTCGTGAAGTCCTGTGGACGTTGGAACACTTAGACTCAGCACTATACTCGACCAGACCATATATGGGAGATCACATAAATCCATCTAAGGATAGACCAAGTTCAACTCACAACAGAATGGAAAGCAAGTCAATCACAGATTTAACTTCAAAATCATAGTTTAAAAAAAATTTCCTAGCTATTAATCACATGAAATTCATTGACCAGGCTGCCCTTCGACTTAGGCTCTGAAATTTTACACAAAATTACATCTTCCAGTAATAAGTAAAACCATAAATTTTCAGCTTTAAACTCAAAGCACATTAATTTATAAAATTCCTACGAGAAATCAGCAAAAACGCACATGAATTCATATCCGAACCAAATGAACGGTTCAGGACTTGAAAATTTAACACAACAAGCTACAGCATGATAGAGACAACATGTAAAAATCTCAGTCCTGGACATTAACTGTGATAATTTTAAAAATTCATGCAAGATTCTGCAGTTATCGAATTTAAATCAGAACAGGGCTAAAATGAACTCCAAAAATTTTCATCTTTTAACAGCATGATTATACACTCAAAATAGGCATCTCAGTAAAATTTCAGAATTTTTCACCAAACAACCGATTTATAAAAATTCAAACTATTTTCAGCAGATTCGGTAAATAAATTATTAACCATATCAAATCAAGTCCAAAAATTCTAAAAATTTAACACAACATATAAACATCACAGGGGCATGACATACTAAAATTTCAGCTCATTTCAAACACAAACCAATTTATTAAGCATTAAACAATATTCTGATCAGAATTCACTTTAATTATTAAAAATAGATACAGGCCTCTAAAAATTATGAAATTTTTACACAAGGCTGGAAATGAAAAGATAACATATCTCTCAAAATTTCAAGTCATTCCGAGCAGTGTGCGATTTATAAAAATTCAAACACCAAAACAGCGACATATATGCTCGGCAGCTTAGCAATTAATTCATAACATGAAATTTCTCGTCCGAGGCCTTCTCGTAAGACCAAGGACTCGACTTTGTTCCAATATCCACTGACTTACACGACTTTCGAGGTCTCGTTCAATTTCTCATAATTGAAGAGATCCCGAACAACATAAACGACACATAAAATCATATCTTTCATATAAATTCACGATTTTCACATATTCTCTAATCGAACACATATATCGAGCATATAATCACATAACTTATACGAATTCACATATCATCATATAACACAACGATAATTACGTAAGATAAACGGGAAGACGGGTCTCGATACCGTTCTCAAGAATCGGGCGAGAAGGGTTCGAACGGGCTCGACGGAAAACTCGTCTCGCGAAAGAGGAGAGCTCGTTGCACGAGAGGAGAAAATGCGTCGCTGCTGCTGGGTCACGAGCTCGTCGGGGCCCTCGGTGTTCAATAAAGGCCTCGAACGGCTGCCGTTATTCTCGCACGAGCTAGAAACGGTTGTTGCTACTGTCCGGATTTTCTTCTCGGCAGGTGAATCGGTCTTGGACGTGGTTTCCTCTCAGGCTGGTCGGGAGTCGTCTGTGCAAATGACGCCACTACTGATCGGGAAAAGAGGTGCTCGAGCCTCCCCTGCGACACGTGAACGGAGGGCTGCTCGCTGGATGAATCCTTGCCCGGACAGAGGAATCCCGCACAGATGGTCCCGGCGACGAACTGAGGGGATGACGGGCGATCGAAGGGCTGGAGTTAATCGCACGATGAGGCTGGTGGTGCGCACGAACAGGAAGAAGACATCACTGCTGGACTCGGGGAATCTCAGGCGCGCTGCTGCTGGGTGTATCGCCGGAGGAGGAGGGCTCGCGGAGGAGTGCAGCGGCGACGGCGGCTCGCGGAGGTGCAGTTGCAGGCGGCGGTGAGGGAGGGTGATGGCGCGACGGAGCTTTCTTGTGAGAGAAGATGAGAGATTATGGCGACGGGCGATTCTCGCTGATATGAGGAGGATGACGAGAGAACAAAAAAGCTGCGCGTGAATGAGGGTGAGGGGAGAGGATTAAAGGCACATTAGGGTTAATCCTTTCCTAATCTTCAAGACACCCACACACACACACACTCATGGGCGGACCGGGTCGGGGCTGGAGCTTGGTTCGGGCTCGCGGGTTTCTCAATTTATCGGGCCGGTTCTTGTGCGTGAGTTTCGAAGACTCGGGTTCTCGGGCTCGATTTCGCAATTAAAAATAAACCGGACAAAATCTATTTTATTACACACATTATTTAATAATAATAATAGTAATAATAATACAGGTACACATTTAGGCAATTAATTACAATTAGACATTAAATAAATATTCATAATAATATTAATAATAATGAAAATAAATAATAAGAATAAAAATAAATAATCATTATAATAATCCCAATAAATCTATAATTAAACGGGGCGCTACACAGCTTTTTCGGCAATGAAGCTCTCTGCCTTAATTCCACCAATTGCTCTTCATCCTCCAATTCCACCAATTCAAATCCAACCTCTTCCCCAACTCCACCGGAAATCAACCCAAAAGGATGAACAAAAGAACATTAATATCCCTAACCACACTAATTTCGATTCTATTGCTCGTGCTCTTCTCGTGGCGATATTCCTGCCGGAAAACCATAACCGACTCGACAAATTCGCTAGCGGCAAGTGAGGGCGAAAAATGAAGCAGCCACTCGAGCCATAAGGGGTTTATAGATAACGAAGGAGGCACGGGCCCCACGCATACAAACTGGCTCATTTTCTTCGACGAGAAGAATCGATTTGAGCTCTCGAGGATTTGCTCCATGTTGTCGGCTGAGGTGCTCAGGAAGGATAATTTGGGCACGGTTTACAAGGCCGTGCTCGAAGGCAATGGGGGAACTGTGGCGGTGAAGAGGTTGAAGGACATTAGCTCGTATCTGTTCTTTTTTTTTTGAGTTTTGGGGCTCAATTTGGGGATTTTTGTGATTAATTCACAAATGACGTGAAAGGTGATGTGGGATTATGTGTGATGTACAAAACAGGTGTCTGATGACGTGGCATGAAGTATTGAATTGGTGTGCCATGTCATTTTTTCGATCGCCACGTCATTAAGTATTGACCAGAAATTCTGTTCGAGACACAATTGCAAAATATAAACCAGGTTGGTATTTTTGGTGCTAAAATAAAAACCTTGAGTTTTATTTGCAATTTAGCTAAAGGTTGTGATTTTTAAGGCAATTAACCCATATTATTGCTTGAATTTCTGAACAATGTTTTGTAAAGGAAAATTAATTCTTGTTACGTTAGGATATTTTAAAGTTGATAAATAAAAAATGGACTTGAGCTTAATTGACATTTAATAAGTATAGTATATCATATGTCAATTAAGGTGCCTACGTACCCCTTATATTGAGAATTAAAGTCCACGTAGTTCTTTTAAGTTTCAATATTAGGCATTCGTTTTTTAAGGTCGTGATTCATTGTGGATTTCAGTTCTAAGAAATTCGAAAAGTTTACCAATTAGAGTTGAAAGCAATAACATCAATTAAACCGATTATGCCACGCACACATTCTTTCATTGTGGATGTTGTTTCTGACTCTCTCATACGCCTACAATACAACAATATAGAGATACTATACACAAACAAACTTCAAGTATTGAAGAGTTTGTATGTCGGCCTGTGTCATAGAACTCTAACTGCTATATTGTAGACGTATACGAGAGTGGGAAACATGATCCACAATGGGAGAATGTGGACGTGGCATATCGATGTAATTGATGTTATTGTTTAAATTTGTGAAAGATGTTTTATAACGGAAACAATTGCCGTTGACATCGGTTACGGGGTTCTTAAATGTTCAACAATCATCCAACACTACAAGAAAGCTACAGTCTTTTCCACACACACTAAAACTATTGGATTATTGTATCAATAATTTGATACAATAATCCAATAGTTTTAGTGTGTGTGGAAAAGACTGCAGCTTCCTTGCAGTGTTGGAAGATTGTTAAACGTTAAGAACCCTATAAACGACGCCAACTGCGATTGTCTCCGTTATAAATCATCCTTCTACTGATGTAATTTAACTTATTTTAATTGATATTTTTTAACTTAAGGATTAAGGTTCCTACGTATTAGTGGTGTGTCAAAAAGTCCAAGTACTTTTTGTTAATTTACTTACAGCTCAAGAAATTCAAAGACTTGACCAAATAATGATCAAAGCAATAACATCAATTACGCCAATGATGCCACGCACACAATCTCCGTTGTGGAACTGGCGTCACACTCTCTAATATGTCTACAATACAGCAATGGAGATTGTGGGCAGGGCAAAATTAGAATAATTGATATTATTGCCTAAATTTCTGAAAAATGTTTTTTAGAAGCAAATTAATTCTTGTTAAGTTAAGATACTGCGATTATCTCCATTATAGAACATCCTTCTATTGATGTAATTTAACTTATTTTAATTGATATTTTAACTTGTAAAAAAGTCCAAGTACTTTTTTTTTAATTTACTTAAAGCTCAAAAAATTCCAAAAGTTGACCAAATAATGATCAAAGCAATAACATCAATTACGCCAATAATGCCACGGCCACAGTCTCCCTTGTAGAACCTGCATCGCACTCACTCATACGGCTACAATACAGCAATGGAGACTGTGGTCGAGGCATAATTGGAATAATTGATATTATTGCCTCAATTTCTGAACAATGTTTTGTACAGGAAAATTAATTCTTGTTACGTTTAGATACTTTAAAGTTGATATAAAAATAAATAAATAAAAAATATTGGACTTGAGCTTAATTGACATTTATTAAGTTAAAATATCATATAACTTGAATTTTTTTTTTGTTTTGGAAAAAAAATGATATTTTAACTTATAAATGTCAATTAAGTTGCCTACGTATCCCTTATATTGGGAATCAAAGTCCACGTAGTTCTTTCGATTTACTTACATGTACACGAGTGGTTGTCTCTAATAGTCATACTCGTCATCTCATGTTCCGGTTCCACCACTCGTCGTACTCGTAAAATCGGATGCGTCATCGTCGTCGTCTGCTTCTTCATCTATGTACATAGTCGTTTGCATCCTTCATTCGGCCTTTGTCCAATCCATCAGCAGCATTTGTGCTTGTAGATTTTCGGGCGTCAGCCTCGATCGTCATGCGTCGAGCATATAACCTCCCTCGCTGAAGGCTTGTTCGACAGCAACTGTAGATGCTGGGACGGCGAAAATCTCTTTGGCCATCAAGCAAGGAACAGGATATATGCCTTGCATTCTCGACCACCAGTCCAAGACAGCGAAATTGAGTGGCGCACTTGGTTCACGAGCAATCGTAAGTATCAAATTCGACGTTAGGTAGTGATCAAGCTCATAGTATCCAGTTCCCTTTGCCCTTTCAACGCCAACATTCTTGTAGGGATTTAATGATGCCACCACTCCTTATAGTTCGAAGCGCCTACTTGACTACCGCCGTAAGAAGAAGACCCGCTGCTGCTGCCTCCGCCGCCACGAACAAATGTGCTGGGAGGTTCACCTTGTGCGATCGCTGTTTCCCTAAACATGTCATACAACAAATTTTTTGCTTGCTCGACGAGCAGCAGTACGTTAGGTTTTTTACTGTATGTTGGGACATCAGTCGGGATTGAGAGTTCATACATATAAGTATAGTACATGTTAAGCTGCTCTACCAAGCGAGCTTCACGTACCGAAGGATCTAACAAACACGCAACTAAATGTGTATCAAGAATGAAATAATAATATTTTAACCATTTCTTTAACATTTCCTCAACTAAATAGCCATATTTATTAAAATTCAAGTCGTAAAGATCCTCGAAAGCCCACATTATGGCTATAGCTTGACTTAACACAAGCTGAGCAGTAGGATAATAAACACCTGAAAGCATGTTAGTAGCATTTTGAAATGTTTCTAAAAATTGAATAAGTGCATTACAGTTCTCTCAATCTCTTGTTGACACTCGGACATCACAGTCCTTACCGTTTGAATGGTTAAAAAAATTCTGCAATTGTGTCATAAACGGAACCTTGTCACTTAACATTTTAAATGTTGAGTTCCACCGGTTAGGAACGTCGGGTTGAAATTTTTTAGGTTTCACCCCTTGATCTTTACAAAAACGTCTCCATGCTTTCATTTCATGGGGACGTTTAGGTAAATAATTAACACCGTCCTTAATTGGCGTGACCGAATTTTTAAAGCATAATAACCAGCTTGTACACAGAGATTAAGACATGACATATACAACGAATATGAAAAAATCTTCCGCCACAAATTGGAGTGCAAATATCGGTAAGTTCACGTATAGATGCAGTATTTGCAGTAGCATTATCAAACGAAATGGAAAACACTTTTTTACCTATTTGATATTTATCCAAAAATTTTTAAATTAAACGAGCAATATTAGAAGCAGTGTGTCATTCATGAAATGCAACATAAGCAATTAAACGTTTTTGTAAACTCCAATTTTCATCTATCCAATGACAAGTAATTCCCAAATAGAAATTAGTTTGCCAATGATCAGACCAGATATCAGCACAAATGGATACTCTATGATTTAAAGATTTAAAAGTTTCTTGCAAAATTACTTTTTTTTCCGCCACTATTTTTCGAATATCGCGAGTAAGAGTGGTACGTGGAACCCGGTGGGCAGCAAGATTCAAAGCCATTTGAGCAAAATGTTCATATAAATCGCTATCACCAAAGCTAAACGGAAGAGATGAAGCAGAAACAAATTCAGCTAAATGGCGTCGATGATTTTCATGTGAGTACTGAAATAAAGATGGCGTACCTGTACCAAACGTGGCAGATGCAGCGCTACTACTCGGGAGTTGTGTCTGTGCCCTATCAATTCCCAATTTTGTCGGATGATTCCTCTCTAAGTGTCGTTTCAACGATCTGTACCCGTCGCCTTTTTTGAAATGGTACTGCTTCTTCTCATTCGCCGGGCAGTAGTTGCAAACAGCTAAAAAGTGATTCTCACCTCTTGTCGGATTGGCCACCTTCGTGTAATGTTGTTTGAATATGGCAGATGCCGGTCTGCCACGGGCGAAGACAGAGGCCGGGTCTGGGACCTCCAGGTCCGGCTGTTGCTGCTGCGTCCGTTACTGAACCTCCGGTGGGAACTCTCCAAATATATCATCGAAATGGTCGTGATACGGCTACTGTTGCTCTTGTTGCTCAGGCTGAATTGAGCCACACATGCGCTCGATCGTTGCCTCATCAATGTCATCGGCGACACCTGGAATATCCACATGTATCGATGGACTCGCAAATTCCGGCAATGGAGGTCTCGACGAAGACGGCCGGTGCCGATATTTCTACGTTTCTGTCCGAAATTCGAGCCACGACCACTACGAGAGCTCGACATTTTATAATTTAAAGAATAAAAAATAAATTGGGAAAAATTATATAGAATATGATGAAATAAAAATAAATGGGGAGATGTGGTATTTTCCTTTTTTTCGGTTTTTTTTTTACAAACCGAACACAAGCAGGTACAAAAATCTGGACCGTTGGATCACAACGATCTAACGGCCCATATTAATTTTTATTTTTTTTTATTTCCGACCGTTGGGCCCGTACCCGGACCGGCCTGTACCCGTGGCCCGGGTCGACCCAACGGCTACTAGGGATGGGCAGGCGCGCGCGGATTCTGACAGGTTGTCGGGTCGGTCCTGTTGACCCGGCCCGACCCAGCAAATATAAAAAATATTAAAAAAAAAGATAGAAACCGTTGCCGGCGGTCGGCCCGTGGCCCGACCCGGCCCGGATCGGACCGCCGGGACCAAAATATTTTTTTTGAACCTGGACCGAACTGCGGCCCTTGCGGTTCGGTCCTACGGACTGGCCCTTATATGGCCGGTTACGGGCTGGTCCCGGCCGGTTCCGTGTCGTTTCTGGACCGGGTCGCGGGATTCGGCCCGTGGCCATGTCTGTCCGAGATGCTTTTGATGGGAAAAAAGACAAGTATAAGGATGCATGGGAAATCATTGTTAAGAGATGGGATTGTCAACTCCATAAGCCCTTACACGCCGCCGCTCATTATTTGAATCCACAATTTCTTTGCGGACGGATTTATTTTATGTGTGGAGAGATTGGTGTTTATTGTGTTTTTATGCTTATTTTCGTGTGTTTTATATGTCTTAGTGTGGTCTTCTTAGGTTCGTTTTAGGTTCATCCGGTCCATTTTATCGTGTTTCGTGTATTTTCCTTGTTTTTCTTTTTATTCTATTTTTGGCGTACTTTCAGGATTATTTCGAGGATGATAAGAGAAGAACCGAACCGAGCTCTAAGAGACGAACATTTTCGATGGAATTCTGAAGAGTTTTAAGCCAATTCGTACGAGCAATCTCCATTCCGAGAAATTCGAGCCAAATCGATCAAAAGCCCCCAAGGACAGCCTTACTCGCGCCCTCGAGCCAGCGCCCGCGCCTCGCGAAGCATCAGTGCCCCGCACCATCACCCGCGTCCGCGCGCGCGAAGTCTGTCGCGAGATCGAGAGTATCGACCTTGCCCCGGGCTGCCCCGTGCCCGCGCCGCGCGAAAGTCCCCGCAACTTCGAGAGTAGTTTTCCCACGCCCGCGTCTCACGCTGACCTCGTGCCCCGTGCCCGCGCCGCGCGAAAGACCCCGCAACGTCGAGAGTAGTTTTCCCACGCCCGCGTCTCGCGCTGACCTCGTGCCCTTGCCGTTCGCGCGCGCGAAACATCTCGCGAGGTCGAGAGTAGCGTTTTGTCCGCGCCGTCTGCCGTCCGCGCGGGCGAGCATTGCCGCCAGGTCGAGAGTAGTGGCTTCCTGGCCCATCCGCGCGCGCGGAACACTCCGCGTTATCGAGAGTATGGAATGTGCTCGCGCCACACCGAGTTTTCCCCCGCGCCTTCCTCGTGCCTGCACCCGTGCCACTGCTGCCCGCGACCCGCGGAAGTCCCGGCGAGCTCGAGAGTGTGTCATTTAATCTGCGTGTTTCTACTGTGTGTTTTTGGAGCTGGACTATATATATGTTTTGGTCAATTGTAATTGCATCAGCTAAATTTCATTTTTCACTTTCCCACTTTGGGAATAGCTATTTTCTTTTTAGTTTTCTCTCTTCTCTCTCTTGGGAGCTCCATGACTTCATTTTCCGGCGAGTTTTATTTTGTTCAAGTTCCAAGATTTTGACTCCGATTTTCGTCTAGCACGCAATAGAAGATTGGGTATTTACTTCTAAAGCCATTACTTCGATTTTTGCCTCGTTTTTACTTATGGAATTTTTAAGGTGAATTTGAGTGTTTGTTTGATGATGGAGGATATGTTTGGACTTGATCATTGCTCATGTTTGTTCTAGTAGAGACTTATTTGCCTATTTAGATTAAGGGTTAGGACTCTATTTAGGGCATAATCACTTAGGTTAGAAGGTTAGGGTTAGTGATCTAGTGTTAGAGCTTGCATACTACTCGTTGTGATTCCGTTTGATCTTGATGGCTTAGAGACTCCGGTAGTGTTAATTGCGTGATTCTCTCGTTGATTGTCGTTTTTACTTCCTAGTGCAATGAGTGTTAATCCATCCCCAATCCAAATTGATTAGCATGTTTAGCTTTATTTTCTCATTTTGTGTGATTTGGATAATTGAGTGGTAAACGAAGCTCCGAACCGTCTTCCTTTGAGAACGACTCGAGATCGGGTAGCTCGGTTACCAACTACCCTCAAAATACCATAAAACAAAATGGCGCCGTTGCCGGGGAAGGCAAGTAGGACGCCTAGTTTATTACTTGATTGTCCCTTTTTCTCGTGTTTCTCTTGATTTTTGTGAACCTTGGTTAATTTCCGTATTTCTCTTGATTTCTCTTGCTTTTATAGATAGTTTGTTTTTGTTGATTGTGTTTTGCTCTTGTTTCCCATTGGTGCATTCACGGGTATAGTTGTTGGTTGTGTTCATGCGAGGTAGACGGAAGAAAACAACCAGAGAGGAGACTCCACCGTTAAATCTTTTCGTTGAGCTCAACATAGACGAACCACAACCGGAGCCCGAACCCGAACCAATGGCGGGACAAGGAGATCAATTGCCACAACCACCCCAAAACATGAGGTACTTTGCACGACCAATCATTGGAGACAACACTTCGTGCCTTGTGCTTGGGGAGGCGGCCGGAAACTATGACCTCAAGACGATTCACCTCAACCAACTTCCCTCATTCTATGGCCTTGCACAAGAAGATGCCCTCAATTTCATCCGAGACTTTTACTCCACGATCAACACTTTCCCTCTCCAAGGCTTAACCGAAAACCAACTTCGTATGAGATGTTTCCCCTATACCTTGAAAGATCGGGCCAAGACTTGGTTCATGGCATTGCTTCCAAACTCACTCAACACGTGGGAAGCCATCTACGAGAAGTTCATGGGCAAGTATTATTCGCATCAAAAGACAACCGATCTCCGAGCACAAATGGCTAGCTTTAGCCAAAACCCGGGCGAGACCTTTCACGAAGCATGGGAGCGGTTCAAGGGCTATCAACTCCAATGCCCACATCACCATTTTTGCTTGGGTGTGTTGAATCAATTCTTCTATGATGGGCTCTACCAAAGCCTCCAATACATGGTGGACCATGCGGCCGGGGGAGATATCGGGAGTCAGACGGCCGAGGAGATATATGACTTGTATGAGATGTTGAGCAAAAATTCCCAACGGAAAAGTGTACGCAAGAGGGCTCCCGTGAATGAGGCTACACAATCGTCCGGGTCGACTAATGATGCCGTGTTGGCTAAGTTAGCCTCATTGGAGGAGGAGCTCAAACACCTTCGTCTTCGTGATGCAAAGTCAACTCAAGTACTTATGGCGGAGGTGTGTGGTTGTTGTGGGGAGACGGGGCATGGAGGCCATGAGTGTCCACGCTATATGGAGCCGGTTTATGACCCAAATGTTGTGACGGTCCCTTTTGATGTTAATGCCCTGCAGGGGTATGCCTTCCGAGCTCAACATGATCCATATTCGAACACCTACAATGCCGGGTGGAGGAATCACCCCAACTTCTCTTGGAGGGACCCAAAAACGAACTACCCACCTCAACCGGCACCACCTCAAGCCTATGCACCACCTCAAGCCTACGCACCTCCTCAAAACCGACCATATCAACCGAGACCCGAGTTTCAAGGCTACCAACCGAGGCCCGAATTCCAAGGATTCCAACAACCCCGAGGAGGATTTGTTCCAAGGCAACCAATGCCACCTCAACCAGAGCCCGAAAATGAGACTAAGGTGAATCCCACGGAAGTTCGCATCGACAATATGGAGAAGTACCTTCAAAGCCTTGCATCGACCGTGTCCACTCTCCATGATGCGGTCAAGGGCGTACCTTCAATCCAAGATTCCCTCAAATGCATCGAGACTCAAGTGGGGCAACTCGGGACTTCACTAGGAGAGATGCAAAGGAGTAAGATGAAAGACAAGCTCCCGAGCCAACCCGAGCACGTCAACGCTATCTCGGTGTTGAGGAGTGGTAGGCAAGTTGATAATCGTGTGGAGATGCCTAAGGAGAATGAGGTGGAGGAGACTTTTGTCGAGGAGGATGATGAACCGATTGAGGAGGTGGAGGTCTCGAAGGGTAAAGCCGTTGTTGACGAGGGGGTCGAGAAAGAAAAGTCGAAGTTGGAGGCACGTGAGGGCTTACACAAGTCGGCTACACCTTATAAACCGCCGGTTCCTTACCCGAGTCGTTTGGAAAACACCAAGAAGGAGCGTCAATTCAAGGATCTCTTCAACATGCTCTCGAAGGTAAACGTCAATCTCCCACTCTTAGACGTTATCAAGAATGTTCCGGCATATGTGCAATTTTTCAAGGATTTAGCTTCAAAAAAGCGGAGATTTGAGGACAATCAGAAAGTCATGATTTTCGAGGTAGCCTCTACCATTATACCTCGGAAAGAGTGCGATCCGGGAGCGTTTGTGATGAGGATAACCTTTGGGAATGGTAAGACGACGACCGGGATGTTAGATTTAGGGGCCGGAATCAATCTCATGCCCCACTCGATTTACAAGCAATTGGGGTTGCAAGGGCTTAAGCCAACTCGAATGAGTATCCAACTAGCGGATCGAACATTGAGAGAACCAAAGGGTATAATTGAGGATGTGTTGGTCAAAGTTGGGTCTATCGTTGTGCCGGTAGATTTCGTGGTCCTTGACGTGGGAGATGTCCCGAATACCGGGAAGGAGCACACAATTTTGCTCGGACGACCCTTCATGGCGACGACAAACACCATTATCGACGTCAAGGATGGACGAGTCACCCTTTCGGCTCATGGAGAGACGGTCACCTTTACGATGAACAATGCTCGAGAGTCTCCACCCAAAGTTGGCCAATGCTCTTTTATGGACGACATCGACCAAGAGGTATATCCCAACTCCCTCTCTAATTTTGTTAATTGCGATGGTATTGGTGAAAAGAAGAGGGTAGTTGAATCGGGTTTGAATGAGAATGTTGGAGTTGGAGTGAAATTTGAGAATGTAAAGAAGGGTGATGTTGGAGATGGTGGTGGATTGAAATCGGGTAAGGGGCGAAAAAGAAGCCTAAGAGTGGAGGTACTAAACCGGTAGGGGTGAATTGTGATGATAAGTTGAGGAAGTATTCCCCGGTGCCCCCGAAAAGTAAATGGGCGAATGTTTTCTTTGACGAGCACGATGAGATTGGAGGAGCTCGTCAAACCTTGCCCGGTTGATTATGATTTGACGGGAAATTCGAGCTCACGACTTTAAACCGAGCGCTTCGTGGGAGGCAACCCACGTTTTTGCTTTTATTTTTTTCTTTTATTTTTCTTGCATTTTTTCCCTTCTTTTCCTTATTTTTGCATTTTTGT